CGCACAATGTGTCCTGTATATATTCAAGCCTTCGAGCTATGAATAAATCAGTTGAAAGTAAGCGCTGTGTGTTTGATGCATGGGTGTGTGCGTGTGTGAGTGATCGTGTCAAGTTTTCGCGCTCTAACTAACTTTTCAAAAGGATCTACCAACTAGCCCAACAAGTTCTCTTCAATGCATCTGTCGAAATAATGGCAAAGTCGGGCGGTACACTGCGTAGCCGTCTCACCTGCAGCTGGCTTTCCTGTCCGAAATCTGTCCCAGAATCTTTCCACAGTAAATCTAAATCACTTCAGCAAAGCAGTTTCCACCTTTGCATAGTTGGCTGCATCGGTCGGCGTCAGCCTGCTGTACACACTGAGCACTTCACCACTCAAGCAAGTACTCAAAGCAATTGCCCATTGATGTTCCGGCCAATTCTGGCTCCTTGCAATCGTCTCAAATCTGTGAAGGTACGTGTCAAGGTCATCCTTCCTTTCATCAAACGCTATGAGCAGCTTGCTTGAGTTCAAGCGGAAGTCCTGATCCCCCCGTTCCCTGCTTTCAACTCTAGCTTGGACCGGAGTTTCACTTCGATGTTGCAAACGGAGCCGCTCCAGTTCTATCTCGTGCTGTCGCTGCCGTCCTCTTTCCTCTCTTTCTTCTTTCGCCCTCTCAGCTGCCAACTTTTCTCTCTCTAGCTCCAACTTTAATTGCTGCTCTCTTTCTTCCTTCAGCTGTCGCTCCCTTGCCTCTCTTCTCTCGCCCATTCGGCTGCCAACTTTACTCTCTCCAGCTCGAACTTCAATTGCTGCTCTCTTTCTTCTTTCAGCTGTCACTCCTTTGCCTCTCTTTCTTCTTTCGCCCCTTCGGCCGCCAACTTTTCTCTCTCCAGCTCCAACTTCAATTGCTGCTCTCTTTCTTCTTCCAGCTGTCGCTCCTTTGCCTCTCTTCTTTCGCCATTTCAGCGGCCAGCCTTTCTTTCTCCAACTCAGCTGCTTTTTCTTCCTTGGCCCTCTCAGCTGCCAACCTCTCTCGTTCCAACTCAGCTGCTTTTTCTTCCCTGGCCCTTTCAGCTGCCAACCTCTCTCTCTCCACCGCCTCTTTCTCCTTCTGGCTTACCTACTTCCGTAGCTCGGCGCCAGAAAGACCCATCTTCTTACTAAGAGCTACTAACTTTTCGAGATTCATTTTGTCTCGCAAATGAAGTCTTGCCGCGTGCAAAACGTATCTGCCTAAATCAGTCTATCGGGACACTCCCCTGCACACGTTAACGAGAACACTGAACAACACACAAAATCGTTCCGATAGCACTATCAACAACTCGAGGATCTTTCTCACTACTTTGGGCACACTGTGCACCAAAAGGTCCTCGCCGCGGACGCCAGATTAGTTGTCACCCGTCCCGTTAAATAGGGAGACGATCGCCGGGCTAATTCCAAGGGCCGAAGTATCGACCCCCTGAACCGCACCACGAAAGCGTGGACAATTTAGAAGTGGTCCTATTTGGCGCGCCAGCGGACGCCGGCTGTGGCCCAAAGAACAAGTCAGAGCCGAGAGTTGATAAAACAAAAGAAAATTATATTCTCAATAATGGCAGATCAAAAATGATACACAAGTATGCACACTCAACAATAGTTGCATACAATATGTCCACAATCAAACAACGTACTACACAGTACAATCAGCCACACTCGAAACAATTGACACAGACAACAATACGCACTATAATGCAGTCGCATGCTTTGAAGAACCAAGACACTTAAAGACCAAAGAGATAGAAAACCTATTCAATCCAGAGTTCTTGGAACAAAAGTCTGGATGATACTCTTCCAAGAATCACTCACTCAAAGTCCAGCGTTGTTGTCGTTCCGCTGCCCCCGAAGTTTCTCTTCCAGGAAACCTCGACTGCCCCCGAAGTATCTCTTCAAGAAAACCTCGCGTCTTCTCTTAGCCATTCTCCAAGCTTCAACCTTCTTCGCCTGAAACACGTCGACTTCACACACGCAGCTGTTGCCACGCGTCTTCACTCGATAGTGGTAGACACACGCTCTTGCCTGTAGCTCGAGCCTTCACCCCTCAGGTGGAAATCCTCTTCTTCTCCTGCTTTGTCACTACGGACAAAACCTTCGCCGACTACACGACGGGATACCCTACGCGCTCTGGCGCTATCTTCCGTCTTCTCCTGATCTCCCATCTCGGCTGCTCGATTTATTACCTTCCGCGAGAGATTCCGGAAAGTTCTCAACATTTCGTCGGTGCTATACGCAGCGAAGGCTGGGGAGAGGGCGAGCCGGTTCGAAGGCCGTCCGCGCCGGAGGACGCAAACCGGCATCTCCCCGCCCCCTTCCATCTAGAATTTTCCAGTGCTTGCTCGTCCGCCGACGTGGGGTGAGGAGGTTCGTCGGCGAACCTACGCATCCGAGGGGAGAAGGACGCACGCCCGGGGAGTCTGTGGATGCTTGTTTGTTTTTTTTTATCGTTGACCTCTCGGCGCTTCGTCGCGAGAATTCGGCGGCGCGCCCGTTTTTGAGCGCTCGTTTTGTGACAAGCTGTTACTCTCTACTCTGAAAACCTTTTTGTAGAAAAATCAACATGGCGGCCTCAGAGATAAGTTCCGGCCGGGCATCTTACAACATCGTCAACCTGAGGCCATGTGTTAACCATCATGGTCAGCATATAAATTGTAGCGTGCTGCTAGGTCGGTGCGCACCTTTTTTGTAGTCTTCACTGTCCGCTAGCACCTGACTACGTGGGGCTGGCTAATTAACTATTTGGCTGAACGGCATACTTTGAAATTAGGCCCCGACATGCTTTGATCAAGCTAATGACACCAATCTATGGTAAGGTCGTAGCCTGGAGCCTGGAGTGTCGTAGCCTGGAGTGTCGTAGCCTGCAGCCTACCAGGCTCATGCACCCCGCTTAATTTTTTTGCCGTGGCACAGAGAGCGAAATATAACCATTTCAAGAGGGTGCCCCTCCTGAAAATAAGAAGTTGCCGCCCCCCTTCGAAAAAAATTTCTCGCTACGCACCTGGGCTGAGGTTATTACGCGACACCTTGAGAAGACGATGCTATTGAAGCTAGTTAAATCTAGCACCGGGCAAACCAAAGCGTGCAAGCTGATGAGCTAACTAAACTGTCCCAATTAACAAGACTTTATTTATGAGCACACTAATTATTTATATGCTTATTACCTCTTCCTAATATGATGACAATTAGTATCGTCCTGATCAAGATTACGTTTATTAGCTCCCTACTGATCACGGCCTTTCTAAATACACCCGAGATAATTTTGCTTTAATTGAAATCTTATCAATGAAGGCATAACTGCTCAGTGTCTTGATGGTTAAGCCTTAGTCAAACAGTAAAATCAAAATTAACACAGAGCTGGTGCGATCTTCACTTCGAAGCTGACCAAGAGCATCAGTAGATGACCAAGTTAAGAAGCTGCAAGAAGCTAGGTTATACCAAGCTCCTCTAATGTTCCTGCCTTACACAACTATAGTACAAGCTCATCAAGTTATTTCATACGGGAAGAAGCTGCCGCTTTGCATTCAACTCATCAAATCTTGACAGTCACACCGGCACCGTGAAAGCCACAAGTTCAACTGGGGTGTTATCAGAATCAACTAGTACGAATCCGAGTTCACGTGCCAACCAGACTGATCGACAGACGCCCGTAGCGAAGATCGGATACGCCCACCTCAATTGCTCTTGCCCAGGAGCAGTACTCACGTCTAGCGGCGCGATCAATCTATCAGCTTCATTCCGTAGACTATGCACACACGCACGCAGAAGTAAAAGTCATACGATGACGCTTTCAATCACAGTCACGTTCCAACTATGATGCGAGTGCCCCTAGTGCCCACATGTCCTTATATTTATCTGCAATATTTCATAGAAGCGAAGCGAGCAGCAAGAGAGTGCTGCGTGTGTACCTTTGCTGCCTTCGAGAGTGAGAATTTATATGCTGAAGGTTGAAGAAAAGAACCTGTCTGAAAAAGATTAAACGCCCCCAAACATGCCTGCGCGAGGCGTTTGCCGAGTTCGCAAAAAGATGGCGCAACAATCACCCCGACGTCGCTGTACTGTTCAAATGTTGAGTGAGTGGAGGCGCTTACATGTTTGCAGGTGGTGTTTGTTTTTATAACCACCGCAAATGGCCCAGATATGTTTCCAACGCCATGCGCATTTTTATAGCCATTTTTATCAACGTTGCTATTACGTACTCCACACTACCTTCATGCTATGGCCGCCGCAGTGCGAGCTTGGAGTGATCTCGTCTGCCCGAGGAGCTCGTATCATACTGCGTAGCACCCCTGGGTAGATTAGCGCGCACGCGTAAATTTAGGCGCAAAAATCAAATCATCCGTTATCATGGAGGCAAATAATACAATATGCTAGTTGGCATTATATATAGTTTATAGATATTTTGTGTTTTGTGGTTGGCATTTAGGCGTTCTGAATTTTGCCCTAAGTACGTAGAGTCTTATGCCATATTAGAAAATATGTAACGAGTTAGAAACTTAAGGAAATATTATATAACAATGCGTTTTCTTTCACCTCCAATTGCGCGCAGTTCGATGCATTGGAGAACCAGTTATGGCGCTCGGCTGGAGATCCTATTATCGCGAGTTTGACCCCGGCCACAGTGGTCGCATTTCAGTAAAACTAAAACAGTAAAGGCTCATGTACTGTTTGACGTCCGTTCCCATTAAACGACATTAGATGATCTAAATTATTGTAGGCCTTCGCTATGGTGTCCTTCATTATCATAGGTTGGCTTTGAAAGTAAAACCTTACATAGTATCATTATAGCAGCCGCACTCTAGCATAGGTGATCTTGCGCGCTGAGGTTGTTTCGTTGATTCGCCGGTGCACGTTTGACCTGAAACTCGCTTATTGTTTAGCACAAAAGGGTTGAAAAATATGCTATTATGATTATTCGTGCATAGTTGCCATATGCGTTTAACTTACTTTAAGTTCATTTGCGTTTTTTTGTTCATTGTGAATTTTCAGATCAAGGGAAGTCGAAGTTACGGTGGGGAACTGGAACACGAACGGTAAAACAAAGGTTTACCTCACTCCTGCTAAGCGAGGTACGTATTGATACTGTGCATTTAATGTATGCCGAATACGCAAATTAAGTATTTCTCAGGAAATGTGCAAAGAGCACATTTACTTAGCCCAGGTAATATCAAAGCACTAAGTGTCACTTAAATATGCTTTGAGCAGCTATATACTTTCCGCATGTGCGTGTTTACAGACTTATAGCTCGAAACGTGAATGTAAGTATGTGACGTGCGACATCCCTCACGCCTGTATATTTGCACTCCCTCTCTACAAACATTACCAATGGTTATTAAGAACGCCGACACGAAAGTACAGAAAACACCCATGGTGTAAAGGTTTTTCACGTTGCATGGAACCGCACGCAGTTTTGAGCATGCTTGAGCCTTAAAGAAGTATCTGGCTTGTACAATTAGGAGACGCAGGTGGAAACCATGCAATCTTTTTATATAGTGAAGTACTCTCAAAATTTAAATCAAATGAAAGTTTTGTTTCCGTTATGTGATATAGAAAGAAATAGATGTGAAAAAAGGTGTGTTTTAAAACAGCTGTACTAGTTCACAGCACCTTCAGCTTGAATTCTACTAGACTTGAGAAGTTACCACAAAAGAAAAAGGCCACAGCTTCAGCGCTTGAACTTCACCTTAGAGGATTTCGCGAAAGCCGTCTGTGGTGTGTGGTGCGCGTTCACATATGCGTCTTTAAAACGTGCGCGGAGAAAAATGAAGAGAAACAGCAAAGATTTTGCGTGGCTGCGTAAGCAACTATGACGTTGAAAACGTCCAGTGTGAGGGCGCAAGAACAGGTAACGCGACGTCAACGAGAAAAAAATCAAACACATTCAAAGGTCAAAACACACAGATTTTATGGGTCTAACACTGGGTAGCGCATGCTATTCACTAGTTAACCACACTATGATATTTTAACAAGAAAGTGCTTTATGCTATGACTTCACTCATTTATTACCGTCACGCATAAGTTGTTTTACAATATTGCTGCGTATATGAGCCAGTGTTGGCGACAACGAAGCAGCGTGAGCATCCTTGGCCGAGGGCAAAAGACGAAGAAGTCGTCGTACTTTTGCCGACGTCACCAGGGGCAAGTCCCATAGCCCGCGATGGGGAAACTAGACGCAGCGACCTCGTGGGGGAGGGGGGGTTGCCAATAATCGAACTTTAGGACTGCCCATACCATTGCAAGGCATTCTTTCTCCGTCGTTGTGTAGTTAGCTTCCGCTCGGGACAGCGTCCTGCTGGCGTACGCGATCACCTTTTCGTTGTCGGCACCACTGGCACATACGCGCGGCAATATATACGAAGAAAATTCACTGCAAAAATTGTCCCCGCATCTGCATGTTTCACTGCAAATGTCGTCGAAAGACGATAGTCTTGCGTGTGGAGGCAGTGAACAAAACGTTTATGTGATATTCTGTGCGAGAAAGAAAATCGAAGAATTGTATCCTAAAGGCGCTGCGTTAAAGAGTCTTGATTCGTGCAGCGAAGGCTAACGAGCGTATCGAGGCACGTTATACAAGAGCGCTATCTGGCAGTTTTCTTCGAAAACGAAGGAAGGAGGGTGCGCCCGCGGAGAAAGATGCGTGCCCGTCTCGGAGGCTATAAGGAGCACGAAAAGCGACAGGCAGGTGCCATCACAGTGTTGTCTTAGCGAAGCGTTGGAAGCACTTGACTTTTTGGGCATCGCGTTGCACTGTCAGCGCAGCGTGATAAACGCTATGGTCATTAGAATTCCTTGTGTGTGCTTTCTATTGTATAAAGACACACATACAAAGCATAGACGTGTTGTTATGGTGCATCAGATATGCGCAATATTGCTTTTTAGTTGACAATCACACAATGCATTAACGCAGAACTTGAGCAATGTTGGTGGGCGCTGCGGATGGGGTTGGCCGGATTCTTGCTGATGGGATTCGACCTGAAACGTGTTGTGAGAGCAGAGTCATCTTTCTGCTAAAGAGCGGTGGTGGAGCATAAGACCCAAAGGCATGGTGACCCTATTTTTTACCGAACTCTGACTATAAGATATTAACTGCTATATTATCGCATCGCATATCATCCGTCCTACCTGAAATAATCAGTAATGTGCAAACTTGTTGTGTTCCAGGTTGTACAATTTTTTCTTCACTTGCTTTGATCCGTGATCTGTTCACGTCTGCTACGATAAAACAAGTGTCTGGTGTTTTTCTCTCCCTCGACCAAGAAAAAGCTTTTGACGAGGTTGAGCACAATTATCTTTTCGTCGTGTTGGAATGCTTTGGTTTTTCTACTTGTTTTGTCGAGGTTCTTCGTCTGCTTTATACTAACCTTGGAAGCTTGCTTAGTAGTGAATGGCCACACCACTGAATTCATCGCTGTGAGTGGTGGTAAACAAAAAAAAGATGCCCTCTCTCTGCGCTTCTTTTTGTACTCTGTATCGAACCTCTGCTAGAACAGATCAACAGATGTAGTTCAATACGTGGATTCCCCCTTTCTGGCCCGAGTGAAGTGAAAGTGGCAGCTTATGCCGACAATATTTCACTTTTTCTCAGGAATATGGATAGCTACAGGTCTTTCTTGCAACTTTTTTACACCTACAGCAGCCTTTCGGGAGCACACCTCGATCAAGATAAGAGTAAAGCAATGAGCTTTCGTAGCTTCGCTGAACAGTTTCCCGATAGTCCACTGGGTAGACGGAGTGAAGGTTCTGGGGGTGACCTTCTTTGCGCCCGGTGAAGTAGCCCGCACCACCTAGAATGAAATTAACTGCAAAGTTGATAAACGCATTGAGATTGCGGGACTTTTTGTTTACCTTTTACTGAACGTGCGTATCTCATCAAGACAAGCACAGCAGCTTTCCTTTTTTATGTAGGGAAAATTGCATGGCCACCTCGACGAGTTTTGTTAAGAGTAGCAAACGCATGTGGCTCCTTTTTTTGGGATGACCATGCGGAAAGCGTCGCCAGAGCACAAGTCCACCTACCAACAAAAATGGGAGGTTTTAGCATTCCGGACTCCGAAGCTATGTGTCGTGTGTCGGCCTTGAGAGCAACATGGGAACTGATCTCAAATACGACATACCGAGGACGAGAACTCACAAAGTACCTCTTTGGAACTTCCCGTCGTTTCTTTGGATTAGCAGACGAAGCGGGACCGGCAGCTGAGTGGCCACCACCCTACTATACGTACGTGGTAAAATGTATGCAATTATTTTTTGCAAAATAAGTTACCAGACTGTGAACTAATGAATATGTCCCCACTAAAATATGTGAATGTATTGCTGTACAAATTTCTAACGATGATCAGCGCAATAAATGCCGCAAAAGTCGACGCTGGTTCATGAAAACCACTACCCCACCCGCTGAAGTCCGAGACTTCACTTGGTTGAAAGAATGGCAGGCGTTGCCAATGGTCGACCGCCTTGCGGCGTGGGGTATCGCGCCCTCCGCCTCATGTCCGCAGTGCGGCCGAACGGAAACGCTGAATCATGTACTTTATAAATGTCCTGTGGCACGTAATTTCTAGAGCTGGGGACCAGCATGTTTCAAGTCAGCATGCAATGGTGCTTTCGTGTATTGGTGCTTTCGTATTGCGGAAGTGGAGGGGACGGGCATGCCTGCGGGGACCCCCTCAGAGGGTCATGTTTCCTCTGCTACATCGCTTAAGCACAGTGATGCTAACACACTTGAACGAACAGTTATTTTTTCTAGGGGAGGAAGCCTTTCTCATGCCGTGTTCCACGCGATTTATTATACTCAGACAGAACAAAGTGTTCGTGCTTTGCCTTCATTACTGACAACGTAGACTAGTGTTTGTGATTTCACTGAACCTGCATTTAGTATTTTATAGGTATTTATTTATTCTTATACGCATTTCTTAAACGTTGTTTTTCGTTCCTTTTGATGAATTGTACGTACCCTCAGCATATATTTCTTTATGCACGCTAGAATTTCTGTTTATAGGTACAAACAATTCCTGTTGTGCATTTGAATGTATATTAAGATATATTAGCATGTCGTGAGAATGAACAATGTAACACGTGAATGTATTCTGTGCATGTAACATGCCCATAGGACTGATGGGGACAACTATGATGTTCTATTGAGGAAGTGTCCCCTGGACACTTAAGGATGGCTTGAAGCTCTCCCGTAGTAGACTACCGAGTTCTTTAAATTGTTAGCCACTTTTTCTAAACACACACACAAACAAATGTACAGACAAACAGACCAAAATTATGGTTTCGAAGGCCCCCAAGAAAAACTATCGCCTATATGTCAAAAGACAAACAGACAGGACAAGTAAGCGTAGGAGAATAGTGTAGGAGAAGGGAGAGGGGGAGAGTCGAGCATGCACTGTAAGCATGGCCACGTAGCATGCCAGAATAAGCTTGACCACTAGATCATTCGCATCTAAAAAGCGAGAAAAAAAGCTCCTCTTCAAAAATTGGCCCCGTATTCGTATGTTACACTGACAGTCCTGCGTCTGTAGAGAGTGAGCAAATGGTTTATTTGATGTTCTCCGTAAGAAAATCGGTGAATGGTATTCTGGAGGCACTGCGTTAGAGTACCTCGAGCGTGCAGTGGAGGCAAACGGGTGCATCAAGTCACGTCACACGTGAGACAAGAGCGCTCTCTGGCAGTTATCTTGAAAAACGAAGCACGCGGCGTGCGTGCCCGTCTCTGAGGTGATAAGGTGTAGCATGCAAAGTGGCAGGTAGATGCCGCCACCGTGTCATCTTAGCAAAGCTTTCGAAACACTTGCCTTTTCATGCAAGCGCTGCAGGGTCAGTGCAGAATGATAAGCGCTAGGGTCCTTAGAATTACATATGTGTGCCTTTTCGTGCAAAAAGACACACATGCAGATTACTGACGTGTTGTTCTGGTGCCTCAAATATTCGCAATAATTGCGGCGCTTTGGGGTATTGTTAGGTGCCGTTCAGGGTACCGTTAGGAACAGACAATCGGACAAATATACAGACAGACAGACAGACAGACAGACCAAATGTTTGCGCCGAAGGTCCCCAAGAAAGACAATTGTCTATAAAAAAACAGTACGTGCACGTTTCTTAGCTTGATAACTGCAAGCCAGCTATATGCACTGTGTACAGTTAGCTGTCCTGAGAGCTCAGCAACTTCAGAGCATTTTCAGCATTAGAGCCGAGATTACGTGAAAGTCATGCGTTCATGCGCCCGTGCTATGCAAGTCCAAACCTCAAACCATGCCACTTCGTTGCAACACAAGCGCGCCTCCACATCACGTGGTCAAAGTCGGTTCCATGTTGTGGTCGCACACACGCGCGTTTTCTATCTTGGTATTCGGCTGCTATGTACTTCTGGTGCTCCCTCTGTAAGCTTGTTTTCAAGTAAGAATGAATAAAAGGGGAACGAAGGTCACTTCATTCGCTGCCACGGCCGCGTTTACGAAAGGAGAGCGCTCCTCGCACAAGAAGTAATAAGAAGTGTTGCAGCTGTTCACGCTCGTCCATGCTTATACTATGCGCCCGTTTAGTGCGTCTTTCTTTTTGTTTGAGCAACGTACTTCACTGTGATAATTTTGTCCACGCTCGTCCTGTGTGTGGTTATTTCGTGCGTGCTTTCTGCTTGGGGTGCCCACACTAAGTTTCGAGATTCTTGCCTGTCACGTGACATTGTAATTTGTTGCTATAGCATTCATTACTTCACCCTTAAATTGTGGCGAAAGAACGTACAAAGAACGGTCAAGTACCTCGGTGAAGACAAGTTTTTTTCGTTAAACCTGTTTTCAAAGAGAGGGATCATTTTTCTTGTTACCATGGTATATCTATGAGTTTAGATGAAATCTGCTGAGGTTAAAATAGGGTGTCTGTCTGTCTGTCTGTCTGTCTGTCTGTCTGTCTCTGTCTGTCTGTCTGTCTTGCCGCTAGCCAGCCAGTGATCTGCTTTGAGCTAAACGATTTCGTAGTGTTCTTCCTACCTTAATATGCACAGAATTCATGGTATGTCGGTATTCAAACTGCGTTGAAAATTTACTTTTTTTTGTTTTGATATGATGGGCTTCCCTTTCCGTTTATCACAGTTCCTATTCGTTACCTGAAGAGCTGCGCATATTCGTGTGGTAGCAGCTTGTATGGAGGCATGATTTAAATAACCACGAATTCTTTTCAAATTCGGGCTCTTTGTCCGCGTTTTTTTTTGTGTTTATAAACCCAATTATTCATGAAATGCCAGCTCGGGGCTGCATTCAGGTGCAGCGAAACAAAATAAGCTGAGCATGCGAAGCAGTGCGTGCTCTACGCCTTGTAATGAAACACATTGCCGCTAATGTTGTTCACGCAATAATTTAGGTCATGTCATTAAAATGATGTTACTAATAAGTTATACGTGCATGTTACGTGTTAGTGTTAAGAACAACACAAATATTTTTGCGATGCTTCCATTCTTCCAGCAAATGACATATCAGAAGTCGACAAGTCACTTTTTGGTCTATGGAATGAATACAACATTCTCATGGCGAAATCAACTTGCGTGACTCTTACATTTCCATCAACCACAATTGGTGAGTTCTATGATAGCATTCGAAATGCTTATAGATTGTAACGCCGCCAGGTGGAATTCAGGACCGTCCCCCCAAGGAGGGTTCGTGAACTACTCATTGAAAGTACTATGCTGTCGCTGCCTAGATCACCTGCGGTCACCTCATCGTCAACACACTTCCAAAGAACGAACACACAACATTGTGTGTTTTCTGCATCTAAGCGCGAACCGCCCTTCCACGAACAGAATAAATCTTATTCGTTGTTGCGAGCCATGAAGTTTTTGTGAAAATGCATCGTAAACTGCACTGGGAATGGTGGCCCACTGGGTATACCTATCAGCTTTTCGAGCGTTTTTTATCCAAGAAGGTGATACGAGCACTACCATCTCCACTTTGCATTGAAAACTTTCCTAGTTTTATATCCATATACCATTTGCCATTTTTGTTTGTGGTGCATGAATTCCATAACACTGTGGTTAGTGAATCCTATAATTTTGGTGCATGAATTCCATAACACCTCTGCAACTTTTGGCACTTTGCCGCGTTAGTGCGGAGAGCGATCGCGTTGCGTTCACATTGACTGTGTGCCTGCTCTCCCCTACTTCAGCAGGAGTACTCAAGTTTCCACCGTCTAATCAGCAGAAATAGATGCTGCAGACTCCAAAAAATATCTAGTAGATCTGGTCGATTGATCTTAGTTCACTGCTGCCCGCCGACGCAAGCCGAAGACCACCACTTAAGCTGCACCCGAAGCCTTCCCTACCAAAAATCAAGTGACTCCCACGGCCGCAACCCCTACCTGTGGATGACGTAAAGTTGGTCTTAAGACCACGAGGAGGCATTCGCCTGAGTCAATGGGCACATTACAGGGGGGCACAAATCAACTTCATGACTGCTGGGCTGCCGCTAAAAACGGTCAACATGCTCCTTTTTCGTATACAAGCGGAACGCAGCATAGTGATTGCGAGTACGCCAGATGAAACTATTGCTACAAAGTTACAAGCCATCACTGACCTAATCTAGGATCACAGAGACATGAATCGCCCTCTTATATAACCGCAACAGACAACTATTGCAAGGGCGTCATCATCGGTCTCGAGAAGAATACTTTAACCACCGAACTCCTCGACAACATTGTGCACCTGACGTCGAGTCCTGCACGCCCGGATGATGGAATCTACAGACATAGTTTTGATAACTTTTGCAGGCCTTCTATTTCTACGCTATGTCTACTACATACAGATGCTACATTCATCGACCTCGCAAAGGAGTTTACGAAATCTACCTTGCAATTTAACATCAGGCAGACATATTTCCAACTCCGATAAAAAGCCGATGCAAAGCCTGTGGAGTTGAGAAACTAGCACCGGAGCACAGCAGTACAACTTAATGCCTCGACTGCAAGGATGACCACCTAGCTACGCAACGTAAATGTCCTACCAGAGAACAGAAACCTCCAAACAAGCATTACGTGAAGAATGCACTGGAGGGGAAAACACTAGCACAACCACCTGCATCACCAACCAAGGGACACCGGCCCCGGTCCAGTACGAGGCGCAGCTAATCCAAGAGCAGGAGGAAGTCTCAGGACAGGCCATTAGAATCTTTAAACAACCCGCCAGGAACCACATTCAAAACCAGCATCACAACTCTGGAACTGACTCCCAAAATAACTGAGTTGAAACTGCAGAGAGACAAGAATCGCCACCAGCCAAGAAGCCAGCGGCTGCTGGACAGAGGTTAGTTGGGCAGCGGGGCCCCACACCCTGAAATCTTCTTTACGTCAGGCCTCCCATCCACCCTCATCACACACACACCCCCCCCAACATACCTCTCACATCTAACGTGGCCCGCCGTGGTGGTCTAATGGCTAAGATACTCGTCTGCTGACTCGCAGGTCACGGTATCAAATCAACAAATCCCGGCAGCGGCGGCTGCATTTTTGATGGAGGCGAAATGCTGTAGCTCCGTGTGCTCACATTTGGGTGCACGTTAAAGAACCCCAGGTGGTCGAAATTTGCGGAGCCCTCCACTACGGCGTCTCTCATAATCATATGGTGGTTTTGGCAAGTTAGGCGACTCATATCAATCACCAATATTATATCTGACGCACATGACTGCACTAAGCAAGAGCTGCTAGATGCCCTAGCAATACTGAGGGACTTGCTCAAGGCTGAAGTGACCAAGTATGATTACTCAGGCAAATAACAATTTCCGTGAAGAACTTAGGGATATGTTGAAAGCCTAAGGCCAAGCACTTGTAACAGAGCTAAAGCAGCGCATACAAGTAAACTTTAAGTCATTTAGTACAGGGCCCAAAACTCACTCACAGTAGCTTCAAACACATAAAGTCTGACCAAGCTACCACACCCTTACATCCGCCCACCACATTTAACTCAGGACACAGTCCACAATGACCAAGATGGGCTGCCCACATCGCCTTAGTCTGACCGTCACAATGTGGCAGTGGAAATTCAGGGGGTTTCAACGAAAGAGGAGCTCCCTGTTACAGTACAGAGCTACTTACGCGCGCCCTCCGGGTATTGTGGCTCTGCAGGAGACGCAGTGCACAAATACCTTTTTGGACTTCCATACACACACAGATCACCAAACAGGGTTATATTCACACTACTCGTATTAAAGCACTTGACAGCTATAGAACACTTACTTTCGTCATTCATTCCAAATGTTCGGGTAGAAATTTCTCCTCGAAAACGTAGTCAGCAGAGCTTGTTTATACTGAAGATCTACAGCTCTCCTAAATCTTGGACCGATGATGATTTCGCGTACCTTATAGCTGAAACGTTGAAACTAGGAGAACAAGTTCCAGTGGTCGGTTATTTTGACACCCCACACACTTCATGGGGATACCTATCGTCCACACGTAAATGTACGAAGTTAGAACGCCTCATCTGCATGCACAGATTTACACTGCTAATAGATCCACAAGCACCAACTAGAATAGGAACCATCACAACCAGAGATACGTGCCCTCGCCTACACTTCGTATGAAGAGTAAGCATTTATAGCAGGTCAACCCTGCATGAAACGTTACGTAGTAATCATTGTATCATTACCACGACGCAACATATCTCCCACTCCCGTTCTTCAGAGTAGAAAGTCAGTCTCACTAATTGAGAAACATTTTTAAAAGAGTGGATCTGACAGACAACACTGGGCTACTTTTAAAGTGAATGGCTGCATTGCCTGCAAGCAGAGCCTAATAAATCAACGAACAGGATAAGCACTGCAACCGCAATCCCAAATGTAGACAGGTACTTTCTACGCCTGTGGGAAGCACGCAAAAGCCTTATAACACGCTGGCGTAGGCAGACGCACAATCACAAGCTTATATTCACCGTAAGAAATCTTTGGTTTGCGTGAGGCTCAAAGTCACACATTAGCATAAAAAGAATATATATATATATATATATATATATATATATATATATATATATATATATATTATGAGACCACGTCCGGTATGGCAGTAACCAGGTTATCTTTTTAATCCAGACGCACGAGCCACAAAGCCAGCCCGTGTGAAATACGATGATGATCACTGCAATGGTTTGGTCATACAGATGAAGATGAAGTACATAGTCAGCGCTCATACTATTTTCCCCACTTCGCGAAAGAGGGCAGCAAGTTAGAAAGGGGTGGGGCGCCGAATATATCGTTTCAGTCGAGAGACGTGGGCGATCTCTGTGTGGCGGCGACGGCGATCAGGAGCCGCATTGGCAGGAGCAACGCAATAGTTGACATCAGATGTTCGTTCCGGGACGGTGTATGGACCAAGATATCGGTGAAGGAAATTTTCGCAGAGCCCAGGTGCACGAACAGGTGTCCACAAAATGATTTCGTCGCCTGGGTGGAACACAACAACTCGACGCTTTGCATCAATGTCGATTTTCCTTTTGTCCTGAATGGTAGCAGTGTTGGCACGGGCGATTTCACGGCAGCGGGCCACGCGAGCGGTGAACTCTTCCGGAAGAGATGAAGATGGATTGGAAGATGTGGACAAAAAGGTGGTGCCCAGAAAAAAAGTCGGTACACGGCCATACACGAGAAAAAAAGGGCTGAAATTCGCCGTACGCTGTATGGCAGTATTATATGCAAACGTGATGAAAGGAAGTAATGTGTTCCAGTTTTTGTGATCCGGTTGCACGTACATAGAGATAATGTCAGACAAAGTTCGGTGAAAACGCTCGAACAGAGCATTAGTTCCTTGGTGATACGCTGATGTGGTCTTGTGGATGGTGTTAAAGGCCTGTAGGACTTCAGCAAGGACATGTGAAAAAAACGTCTTGCCACAGTAACTAGCACACGTGGTGCGCCATGTCCTAAAATAATGGCACGAAGGAAAAAAATTGGCTACTTCAGAGGTAGGACTAGACGAAAGAGCTGCCGTCTCCACGTAGCGAGTATGGTGGTCTACAGCAATAACAATCCATTGGTGACCGGCTGGCGTAAGCGGAAGAGGTCCGTATAAGTCTGCGCCCACAAATTCAAAGGGAGTGAACGGGCACAGCAGTGGTTGGAATGGCCCCACGGGAAGAGACGTGGTATGTTTTCGGTGCTGGCATGACGCGCAGAAAGCGACGTACTTGGCGACAGAAGTGGAGAGGACAGGCCCAAACCAGCGAGTCTTGAGGCGGTCGTAGGTCTTGTGGAACTCTAAGTGGCCAGCGGTCGCGTCGTCATGAAACGCTTGTAGAACTTCCAGACGATGATTGATGATTATGTGGGGTTTAACGTCCCAAAACCACTGATAATTATGAGAGACGCCGTAGTGGAGGGCTCCGGAAATTTCGATTACCTGGGGTTCTTTAACGTGCATCCAAATCTGAGTACACGGGCCTACAACATTTCCGCCTCCATCGGAAATGCAGCCGCCGCAGCCGGGATTCGAACCTGCGACCTAACTTCCAGACGAAGTGGGCGAGGAATGACGGGAAGCCATTTATTACCGAGAGGATGGTAAATTTGCCGGCGTAATTTTCCATCTTGAAGCTTGAAAC